GCTCCATTTCCGGGTGCACAAACAGACTGGCAGAGGGCTCTGCAGTATCTAGATGGTGTTAAAGCAGAGTCTGTGCCACAGGCTGCAGCTGCTTAAAAGGAGGAAGCCAGTATCTCAGAGTACGTGAATTGTGGCATAATTACAGTGGTGAGGACCCTGCATTAGTTGAAAGTGTTGGTCTGTCGTTTCGCAGTGCGGTTGAGTCTTCCCTTTCTGTAGATACCCAGAAATTATTGAGAAAAGTGATTGGCTTAAGTGCCCTCCCGTTTGAGCAGTGGGCAGCTCATATTATGCAGTATGTTGACAATGATAAAGAAGATAGAGAAAAAGAGGAACAGGAAATCTCATCCTTACAAGCAGAGCTGACAAAAGCACAACTTCAAGAGATGAGAGATAAAGTTAACAGGAATAAAGCTGCTGATAACCAGATGCTTTTGGCAGGGACTGCACAGCAGTATGTAGATCCCTCTGCTGTTTCACACAAAGCACAAACACCTGCGCCTGGACAGCCTCAGTCCTGCTCATGCAATGCACAATCTGTGAGTAGTGGCTTTCAGAATCGTGACAGAGCACGAGCATGTGGTTGAGAGTCCAGGGCAAATAGGAGAAATTTTGTGAGAGATGACACATGACAAGTTTGTCGTAAAAGAGGACACTGGGTGCGAAACTGCCCAGTCCTTTATCAGCAGGTGCCAGGACCAGCAGGATCATATCCTGCTCATGTTAATAATGCACTGCCATACACACCCCAACCTCAGTATCAAGTATCAGGATCTAATCAGATCTGTTATCAGCTTCTCGGGTCAAAAGGAGGAGTGGCCGGTCTCTCAAGGAGTTCCCTGTGGAATAATCTTTCATTACATCATTCAATTCTACTTTCTCCATCTTGTCCCGTTAATCTTCTTGCACGTGATATTTTGTGTTCTTTGAATGTGACCATGATGATGATGTCATCCAGACACATGGACATCACTTTTCCAGACGGTTCTGTTCAAAGGTGTGCAACTCCAAAA